TGTCTGAGTAATCTTTCATATACTACCACTCTTTATGAATACTTCTAAAGTTACTATTAATATTTTTATTTATTAAAAGTTAGAGATCCGTATTATGAATAAAGAGCATTAAGAAGTTTGAAAGTGTTCTATGAATAATGACTTTTAACAGCACATATTAGTTTTGCCTGTTTGTGTATATAGTATAAATAGAATCAGACTATGTATATACTTATGTATTTGGCTTTTGCTCAGCATTGTGGCTGTGACCTCATCCATGTTGAGTGTAATATAATTGTCATTGCTGTATAGTATTTCATTGTGTGACTATGCTACAGCTTTTTATTCCATTCTGATGGACGTTAAGGGAGTTTCCAGTGGAGTTTATTACAATTAGCTCTGCTATGGACATTCTTAATATGCCTTTTGGTATACATAAACAATGATGCCTGTTTGGAACTATGCTCAGGACTAGAGATGCAAAGTTATATGATATGCACATGTACAGCACTGTTAAATAGCACCAAACAATTTTCAAAAACCTTGGTACAAATTTACATTCTTACCAGTAGTGCATGAGAGTACAGATTTGCTCAACATCCTCACCAAGAAGTGGTATTTTCTGTCTTTTTTATGTTAGTCATTCTAATGGGTGTGTACTGGTAGCCTTTGGATTTTATTTTGCATTTCTCTGCTGACTAATACAATCAGTCACTGTGTGTGTGTGTCTGTTTGTGCCTGTGTGCATGTGCATGTGCGTGCCTGCTGTCTGTGTGTGTTTGTGAGCTTGGGAAACTGTGTTAACAAGTGCCCATTAGAGACTTTGGCCTTTTTTCTATCGAGGTTTCAGATACTTTTTATATAGATTTGTAGGATGCCTTATGCTTTTGAGTCCTTTGTTATGCATATGCAACGCAAATACTTTCTCCCTCTCTGTGGCTTCTACTCACTCCCTTAATGATCTTCTAATAAAGAAAATTTCTTAATTTTTAATATATTTTAAGTCATTCTATTTTACCTTTATGGATAATGATAATCTATGTCCTGTGTAAGCAACCTCTACCTTTTCCAAGATCATGGAGACATTCTCTTATGCTTTCTTCTATTAATAAAAGCTGGATTGTTTTACCTTTCACTCTTTCACATTTAGATCTGCAAACCATCTGGAATTTATTTTTGCTTATCATGTGATATAAGAGTCAAGATGAATCTCTCTCTCTCTCTCTGTCTCTCTCTCTCTCTCTCTCTCGTTCTCTCGTTCTCTCTCTCTTCTATTCTGTTCCATGAGTATATTTGTCTACTTTGCAGCAATAATACCTTTTCTAAATTACTGTAACTTCAAAATACCTCTAGATATCTGATATCAGATTAGATTTTAATGTAAATTTCCCAGCTTTATTATTCTTTAAGATCACCTTAACTATTCTTGTTACTTTAAATATTTCCATATAAACTTTAGAATAAGAAATTTTTTCATTCTATTTATGCTGCTTCATGTTTATATGATTTCTTGAGTATTAGGGCTGATAATTTTCATCAGTTTTAAAATGTTTGGTCTTTACTTAATTATTGCTTTTGCTCCTTTATCTGCCTGTTTATCCTCTGCAAATTACACATTGCAATTTCTTTTATTAACTTTTATTTTAAGTTCAGGGGTACATATGCAGGATGTGCAGATTTGTTACATAGGTAAACCTGTGTCATGGGGGTTTGTTGTACAGATTATTTCGTCACCCAGGTAATTAAGACTAGTACCCATTAGTTATTTTTCCTGATCCTCTCTCTCCTCCCACCCTCCAAAAAGCTCCAGTGTGTGTTGTTCCCCTCTGTGTGTCCATGTGTTCTCATCATTTAGCTCCTACTTATAAGTGAGAACTTGCGGTATTTGGTTTTCTGTTCCTGTGTTAGCTTGCTAAGGATAATGGCCTCCAGCTCCAAGCATGTCCCTGCAAAGGACAAGATCTCATTCTTTTTTGGTGGTTGCAGAGTATTCCATGGTGTATATGTACTATATTTTCTTTATCCAGTCTATTATTGATGGGTATTTAGGTTGATTCTATGCTTTTGCTATTGTGAGTAGTGCTGTGATGAACATACATGTGCATGCGTCTTTATAATAGGATGATTTATATTCCCTTACTGTGACCCACATGCTTTTTACTTGTTTCTGTATTTATCTTTCTATCCTTCAGTTCTGCTTTTTTTCTGTTTATCAGTTTTTCAGTCATCTGATGCTGCCTTCTGCTTGTCAAATCTATCCATTGAATTCTGAATTTTAGATATTGTACTTCTCTGTAATTCTAATTTATTCTTCTTTATAGGTTCCAATTTTCTGTTAAAATTATATAGGTATTTGACCTGCTTTAGTAATCATTTCCCTTTTTTCTTGAATATATTAGCCATAGCTTTCTGAAGTCCTTATCTACAAACTCTGACATCTAAATCACCTGTAGGTCTGTTTATATATTTTGGTTTTTGGCTTTGGTTTTAAAACTTAGTTTTAGGTCTCATGGTCCTGCCTTTCATATGACTATTGATTTTTCATTGAATTCCATACATTGTGTATAAAATTGTAGTATTTTCAAAGAGAAGTCTCTTTTCCACCATAGAGGCTTCATTATTTACTTTGCTATACAGATAGTATGGGAGAATTATTACCTTAATCTCATAACGGACTTGTGCTGGGTTATAGTTTTTACTAAATCTAGTCTGTCTTTGCTATTGCCTTGTTCCTAGGATATAGCTCTCTAGGATTTTAAACTAGTAGTTTAGCATGGCTTCTTTTTTTTAGTATTGGAAGACTGCAGAAAAGGAAGCTCTCCTTTTCAACGTTTTTCGTATTAGCTTTTGTCCTCATGCTCCGTGCAAATTCAAAATTCACCAATTATATTGAGAGGGAGATCAGCCATTAATTTGACATGTTTCAGATATTTCCTTTGTGTCACCCTAGCCCTGTGTGATCATCAAATCATTGCTGTTTCTTCTCATCCACCAGTATGAGCCCTATGCCCGGTAAGCTGCTATCCAAGGCCAGAATTGGCAAATGCTCCCAGAGATGAAAAAGTTGTAGGTTGCAACTTCATCTATGAGAGGCTCTCCCCTATCTCCAGAATTTTAGGCACTTCAAGCTTCACTGAGCTTTACTGTTTTATGGTTCTAGGTTTTATAGTTGTTAATGAAGGGAACACTGTTCACCAATAAACAACTCTGTCCTACCCAGAAATATTGTAGTCACCTCCTACCTGGGCTCCACATGGTTTGATCCCTCTTCTACTTACGTCATTTAAAAATTTTCAGGAGGCCGAGACGGGCGGATCACGACGTCAGGAGATCGAGACCATCCTGGCTAACACAGTGAAACCCCGTCTCCACTAAAAAATACAAAAAACTAGCCAGGCGAGGTGGCAGGCGCCTGTAGTCCCAGCTACTGGGGAGGCTGAGGCGGGAGAATGCCGTAAACCTGGGAGGCGGAGCTTGCAGTGAGCTGAGATCTGGCCACTGCACTCCAGCCTGGGCGACAGAGCAAGACTCCGTCTCAAAAAAAGAAAAAAAAAAATTCCTAGTAATTATTTTAAGACATAAGTCAGATAATGCCATTCTTTTGTCTAAAATATTCTAATTGTTCTTCATTTTTCCTTAGAATATAATTCAAAGCCCTTTAATGGCCTATAAGACTTCAGATTACCTGCCCCCCACTTTGGTCTCATCCTCCTTTCCTGCTCTCCCCTTCCTGACTTTGGCCAGCCACACTGGCTGAACAAGTCATCCACTTTTCTGACATAAGGTATTTTTCCTGGTTGTTCCTTCTACTCAGAGCACTATATATATATACACACACACACACACACATATATACACACATATATATGTACATATACACATATATATGTACATATATATACATATATACATATATACCTATGCATTGATAAGCTTTCTATTTTCTTAATATTTCTGCTTGAATGTTACTTTTAAAAAATTAGGGTGACACTAATCACCGTATTTTCAATTTCATGGTAACACAAATCCTCCACCTAGGAATGAATATTTCCCCTAATTCTGCAGTACTTTTATGTTTTCCCATGTTGCTTCTCACATTAAAACATGCTTTATGCTTTACCCTTTAATCCATTATTTTATCTTTCACTATCACTCTTCTCTATATAATATAAGCTCCATAAGGGCAAGGGTTTTGTTTTATTCGTGGATGCATTCCAAGCTCCTAGAATAGAACCTAGCACACAGAAGATAGTCTATGAAGATTTGAAAAACTAATGATTGAGCAAACATGTTGAACTTAATTATTTGGGTCTTTTCAAATGCACTTTCTGTTTCAAAACACAGCTAAATTTAATTTTGACGTGATCAACACAGATTTTGATATATTACTCTGATGACTCTGTATATGAAACTCACTCTGAAATTTTTAGGTTCAAAAACTCACTCAAATTCTATGCAATGTTGATTTTTCTAATTCATTTGAAAATGGACTATATATTTACTACTTTCTCTGTAAAATTTACAGCTACTGGAAAAGGTAATACTTTCAAAAGTGAGCAAATCTTCAGAGTCTCTTCCTGCCTATCATACACTGTTAAGAATTGGATAGAAGTATATGAAGATGCAGGTAGAATATGCACTTCAAAAAATATAACCACATTCTGTTTGACATATCTTGTCCTTAGGTAGCTGTGACTATATTTTATATCACTTCTGTCTTGTTCTCTCCTTTGGGCAATTTAGGAAACAGACATTAATGTTTCAGTCTAATGGCAGAGAAATTAGTCTGAAATGGTAAAATAAAGTTTGCTTCTTAGAAAGAAAACTCTTGTTAAAGGCTTAGTCTCCTCCTCCCGATTACTTAGTACTACTCAACCCCACTCTCTCCCACCCCAATATCAGCCTGGATTAAAAGCCTCAGCTTTAGGAACTTGTAGCGGACAGAATAGACTATGTTACGTTTCTTTTGGAAGATCAGGCAAAAAAAAAACAAAAGAGAGAGAGAGAGAGAAAATACATACAGCTTCCAAACTTCAGTGGGCAGGCATGTACATCCATGGGAAAATCTTCCAAATGCATGGGACACTCGGCGTGAATTGTTAACCTAAAAGAAGGGCAAACAGAAAATGAAATTAAGATAAAATAAATGTTATTAAACACAGGGTTGTATTCTCACTCAGCAGCAATGGAGTGTTCCTAAGAATAATGAGATTTTTGTTTGTTTAGGTTCACTGAGATTCAAGTCTTTATGAACACAAAGGATGGATAAAATGAACTAGATAGCCTCTCAAAGAGGCATTAAGTATTCATATTTTTGGATCATATCTGAATCCCATCCTGTCACCTTTGAAAAACAGATATATCTTTTCTACCCTAACTGTATTTCCTTAGACACCCCCCAAGAAGCCTGGAAACACCAGGTTCTGACTCATTCACTCCTGATCGCAGTTTAATTATTTCTGAAATATTTCTTCTCAGCAGGCTATTCTGTGAGTTAACCAATTTAAAGATTGCACTGAAGAGAAGAGGTATGTAGAAAGAATATCTTTACCCTGATCATTAACAGACGAAAAAGATAATTCTGCTGCTCACAGGAACACACACACACACATACACCACACACACACGCACACACACACACACGAAAACTGACCACTCCAGGAAAAAATACAAAGGTGATGGAGGACATCAGAAACCTCAGAGGTCAAGTCTAAAGAGCTCATACTCTGTTAACAGAGGCAATATTTGGAAAAGATGCTGGAAGGATTGCTCGGTGGAAATCTGAATGGTATATGACATGCTTACATACTCACTCCCCTGCAATAGTCTCCCTGAATAGTCTATTTCAAGGTTTTCCCTTCTGATTTTTTAATTTTTTTCCAAGACTTAACTTTCCTTGGGCTAGATAGTAGCCTCCTATGTAGAAATGGGGCTCACGCAGCAAAAATTTAGAGTTGCTTGGAAGCTAGCTCTCATGAGCTACTTCTAACTAGCCTTTATACTTACTGGTTATATTGGACTCAACCCCCACCATCCTTTTGGAGTTCTAATAAGTTGAGAAACTGATTATCAATTATAATGTCACCCATTCCCCCAATGGCTTCTTCCCTTAGATAGGTACTCCTGCTGATAATTTTCAGGGCCCAAGTACTCCTTAGGACCAGAAATCTTGCCTAATAAAACATCAATATATGAGACTGAAAAGAATACGCCTCACTTCTATGCAATTACCAAAGAAGCCTGTAGGGAAGTGTTTTGTTGAGGCAACAAGTAAAGAAGTGCCTGAAAGGGATCCCATGTGTGGGGTCTCCATTTCTCACTCTTCACATCACAGTGCTACTGTAACAGTGTTAGGAAGCAAGATCTTAACAAGATATCCACAGGCTATTGCTGCTTAACATGATTTTTCTTTGGTTAATGAGAGTGAGATACCAGGAGATATTTCTTGTCAAATTACAGACATCCATGTGTCTATGAAGGCATAGAATGTTCAATGTATAATTGTTATCATTATGATGATCATTGATAATAACCTCTGAGATGCTCACAGCATGTTACAACTTCTAAAGAACATTCCCATCAGTAGTTCCACTCAGGCCTACCATAACATTTGTGATGTAGGGACCCTGGTTGCCTGGAACTAAGTATTCTATTTACCTCATTTGCTCCCCATAGTGACCCTGTGAGGGACATATTGCAGACATTATTATCATCTTTATTTCATAAATAAGAATTCATGGTGTTAAAGTGAGTTTCTCAAGTCACACAACCTGGTGAGCTGCAGTGCAATCTGGTGTTCTTTCTACACTAACAATTTTCCATTCATCTGAGGGTAACGGTCTCCTCAGGTCCTCAGTAATCTTTAAGTCATATGAGAGATGCTCTAGTTATCTTTGGTTATCTTTGAGCAAGTATGTTCTATGTATAAGGTAGTCATGGGAAGATACTAAGAAAAGAAGGAAGAACCAGAGGCACGAGCCACAGTTGTTGCCCTCATAGTGACCACTGCTATAGGAAGAGAAAGCTAACCCTCACATATGCAGTTAACCATTGACACAGGGCAGGAGTTGAGTACATTAGCCCGAATACAGTCAGAATGCTTTCTATTGCAGAAAAAACTTGAAGGGATATTGAACATCGTAGCTATGGGAAGGGAGATAAGGAGGGTAAGAAGGTCAGACAGCGTTGACATGTTTAAGAATCAATGAAAAGAGCATAACATAATTTGGTTTGTGAAGTACCTTGCACCTACAAACATTTGCTTTTTCTCTCTCCTCTGTGCTTAGGTGGGTTGAGGAAGAAGTGGATGGGAATAAAGATAGAAAAGTTTTAAATCAGTTTTGCCCCTAATCAGAAATCACTGCCTTTGCATCCTGCTTTGATAGTCTATTTGTTGTGGTCTTATTCTCCACGTCCCCAGAACTGCTGGCTAGACATAAAGTAATTTCCCCTTGGCATTACTCATAAGAGGCAGTATCTTGGAAATAATAATATAAGTGGAGAAAAGGAACACAATTTTCTTTATTAAACTCTCATGGAATCTTTTCAGTATCCAACACAAGGAGCATGTTTTTCAGTGAAATACATTTCTCTTGTGTCTGGTTCTTTGAGTCATGGAACCCCTTTTGTGCCTTAAGAATAAGGTCAGACTGGTGGAGTATTGCAGGCTAGCTTCAGAGTTCAGCTTTTGTCCAAGACACATCGGAAATTTTGTAAATATCCAAGGCAACTTTAGTTCCCTCACTTTTAAAAAGGAATAGAGACAATATCCTCTTCCCCTACATAACCCATCTATCCATTCAACATTTATCCATTTAACAATATCAGGGATTTATAGGGTGGTGGGAGGCACAAATTAGAAAAAAAGAAATCAAAGGCTTTATCTACTCCAGAGGATTATCACTATCATCATTATTATCTTTACTATATATAGACAATAATTTCAAAGAGAAAGCTGGGGCAGAATCAGAGCCTTAAAGTGACATGGTTGCCTCTGACTTCAGATCAGCAAAATAAACAAGCCCTGTAAAAATTTCATGTCCTCTCTCCTTTTCCAACCTTTCTCCCTCTTCATGGATTCTTTTGTGAAGCTCTACTAAATCTGGTTGTATTTTTGCTAGCAGTTTTCAGTGAGCTTTTCAAAAAAGATCAGAATCCCCTGAAAATGTGGCATTCAGATCACAGAACTATAGTCGTAATACAGGGGTTGGCCTGCTTTGCTTTTTATGCGAAGACCAGATACAAAGTAAGAGGCAATCCAGGAAGCCCCTTCTTTGGGAGATGAGGATACAAATGAAGATCTGACTACATTTTTAGTCCTTCACCTGCACCCTTCTCCCCCACACACATACTTCAGTTGTTACCCTCATTTTACCATGCTTTGCCAATCCTGACTCTCTTTTCACCTCCCCCCTCCACCTTTGCTGCAAAACAGTTGCTTTTTATCCCATCACACTAAGTTAAAGTTACATTGTTGCAACAGCCTCCTAGGTTGTCTCTGCTTTTCCCCTTCCCTCTTAGAGTATATTCTATATAACAGCCTTCCAGTGTTTGCCGACCTATTACAGAGTAAAAACTAAAGTCCTTATCAAAGCTTACAGTGTCTGATATAATCTTGTCTTCCACCCTCCCCTTCACTCTGCTTCAGCTCTGTCAACATGCCTGTCTCTCTTACATCATGGCCTTTCCAGTCACTATGCTCTCTGCCTAGGATGTTCTTCTTTTGAATACCTGGATAATTGATTTCTGCATTTCTTTCAAGTTTTGCTTAATTAGCATTTTCTAAATGGGGCTTACTCTGATCTCCACTGAGTTTACTACCTTCCCTATAGGTAGTAAACCTCATCATACTTTCTTTTTTCATAACCCCTAAAATACAATGCACCTTCTAATTTATGTTTTCTATTTATCATCTATTTTCTTTCCTTCCTTTCTATAAGGTTATGGATTTTTAATCTTATTTTTTCTTTAATGTGTGCTAACATCCTAGTTAAGTATCTAGCACATTGTAGGTATTCAATGAATATCAACTCAATGAATGATTTACTGAATGACTTTTCTTTCCTAAAGTCACACATTTCTCTTGGAGTCTGCAGAGAGGAGGTGTAGGCTGGGCAAGATAAGGTTTAAGTATTGCTAGGGTTCTAGGCAAAATCATGTCTTAATATGATTCATTAATAGCATCATATCTCAATTTATTCACTTCAATGGGCATATAGTTTACTTCCTAGAATTTCAGAGCTACAAGAGCCTTATAGAAAGCATCTAGTTTTATCCCCTTATATATTTATGTATGAGAAAGCAGAAGGAACATGTCTTGCCCCAAATCACTCAACACAGTCTTGGAGCTGACTAAAAGTTTCCTGATTCACTGGTGTAGTCAACAAAAGATCCCCAGTGGATGCCCAAAACCACAGATAGTACTGAACTCTCTATATACTATATTTTTGCTTATATATACATACATATGATAAAGTTTAATTTATTTATAAGTTAGGCACAATACTCTTGCACTTTGGGACCATTAATTAGTAAAATAAGGGTCCCTTGAACACAAGCAGTATGACAATGACACAGTCGATTTGATAACTAAGACAGCTACTAAGTGACTAATGAGCAGGTAGCATCTACTGAACAAAGGGAGGATTCACATCTCAGGTGGGGCAGAGCAGGATAGCCGAGATTTTATCACACTACTCAGAATGGCATGCAACTTAAAACTTATGAATTGTTTAATACTAGAATTTTCCATTTAATATTTTCAGATGGTGGATGATAGTGGGTAACCGAAATCATAGAAAATTAAACCACAGATAAGGGGATAAAATACCAAGATTGTTGTCCACTTAGAATTTACATCTCAGTAGAGAAAGACAGAAAATAAACAAGATAAGTAAGCAAATTATATAGTTTATTGAAATGTGATATACCCCAGGAATAAAAATTAAAATATATGGGTAACAAGTATTTGGAAGGGGTTTCAATTTTTAATAGGGTGTTTAGCAGGTGCCTCACTGAGTAGGTGACATTTGAGCAACAATCTGAAGCAGATGAGAGAATGAACCTTGTAGAAACCTGGGGAAAGAGCATTCAAGTTAGAAGGGG